TAGTGGTATTTTTGAAGATTTTAAAATGATGATATTTTTGAAAAGTGACATCTAAAAAATGTCATTTCTCAAAAATTCTCGTTTCTACAAAACAAATTATATATCGTGGTTATCAATTACAAATAGCGATATATCAAAAAAATAATTATATGTTTTTGTAGAATTATATTATTTTTATAAAATAGTGTGTTATTTGAAGAAATAATAATATTGCAAACTAAATAAATGTGTACATTAACATATTTTATTAAATTGTGTATTAACACGTTGTTTTGTAATTAGTGCTAATTGCTTAACATCTTGCTGATTTTAGAGTTAAATATAAGATGAAAGAAATATAAGATTTTCTAAAAGTAGTATAATATTAGAGTACGGCTCCTCCATATATACAATCATCTAAATTTTAGTGTCATTTTAAATAATAAATACATAATCAGTCTATTCACATGATCAAGCTCTAACTTGGTATAAGACATGATTTCTCAAGCTAGTGACTTAACTCCATTTTGTGATTCAACATCATGAACTTCAACCATGGTACTCATCATGATCTCTATATCTTTGGATTCCTTTGTTCGAAGCTTAGAATATTCAGTTTTCTCACCGTAGATCCTTTGCAGAAATAAATGAAACCACATTGCAAAGATGGTCACACCCACGAGAAACCAGCTGAATTGGATATTGACCAATGATATTGCTCTATGTAGAGCTTTGACGTTTGAGCATCTAATGACATGTTTACCCTCTTCAATGTGAAGAAAACAATCCTTGGGAACAAAACTTGGCGTCCAAAGCATGCAAGCCATTGACATAAGCCATATCCCTTGGAAGGAAATACTAAGTGACCGAACAAAACTCAACAAGAAGCTACTTGGTAAGGCGATCCCCAAGAGTGTTGTGACCAAAGAGACGAAAACTACGAGTTGTAGCAACAAATGGTAGTGCCCCTCAACGCCGGTGTGGTCCGATGAATGAAAATGGAAAAGGAAGAGTTGTTGAGCGAAGGCTAGGGCCGCGATCAAGTTGATGAGTCCCCAATGAGCCATTGGTCTTGTTTTGTCAAAGACAATGGCAAAAGCTGCATAGGTGATGAAGGTGAGGTCGATCGAAGAGTGTTCAAAGTTATGGAGATGGTTTGATGGGATGGTTCCGTCATTGGGATCAAATGGTTGGTGATTCTTTTGGCCGAGGAAGAGTTCCACAGAAATGGAAAGTGAGGAGCCTAGAATGATTAAAATAGGCTCTAAATATCTTGGTTTGGAAACGGGAAACCATACACATGATATGTATGATTTTGGGTGTAGAGAAAATAGTTTGATATGGTTAAATAGGTGCCATAGACCAAGTGCAAAGAAGAATAATCCCGGTACAATGTGACCCACCAATGTTCCCATGTTGAAGCTTTGGATGTTGAGATTATGGAGGGTGCATATATATAACTTGGGGAAGATAAATGCATTGAAGATGACTATAACAGTTGATGACCAAAGATCTTGATTTTGCTTCAAGAATGATGATGCTTTATGTGTAGTCATGTAAGTG